TTATAAGGGATTACAAGACAACTACTGAGAAACAACAACGCTGTCAGAAACCATGAATGTGGCTGGATCTCGGAAGATATACTAATTTGATAAGCAACAGCTAAAAAGAAAACGTCAGTCAGAAACAGAATTAGAGCTTTTGGACAACACTAGTCCTTCCTCATTCTATCTTTTGAGGCGAGATCCCATTCTTCAATAGTTACGTTTGAAGAACCTCGAATTGATGCTGTAAACCGCTACCTTCGGTCAAGGAGAAAACATAAAGTATGATAAATTGTTTGGAAAAAAATATGTGTATTGTTTGGAGGTTTGCATGGCAGGGCCATATACAGGGGGGGGGGGCGTAGGTCCCCCTCCCCCTTTGTACACAGTGTTAACATTTTAAAGCTTGTTCTTGCTAGGCAATACAATTTTTTTCCAGGGATCACTCAAAATGAATACTTCTAATCTATGTAAATATGCATCAGCACGTGTTATACATAGGTATAGGCCTACTATAATAACAGGCCTAAGCGCGATTTAAAAAAATCTTCAATCCATAAATCCCAGGCCAGGATTTTCAGATACAGAAATGTGATATTGTACTCAGTTTGGTTTTTATCCTTTTGCAAGCTCTATAAAGTTTTGTTTTAATGCTACTGAGTTACTAGTAATAATAATAATAATAATAATAATAATTATGATGATGACGATGATGATGATGATGGCGATAATAGATAATAATATTAATAATATTAAGAAGTGAAGAAAATTATGCTTAAGGCGAAAAAGTAAGTTGTGATTTGTTGATCACAATTATTATAGTATAGTTTAAGCTTAGTAAGCTATATATAGGCCTAAGTTGTCTTGGATATTAAGTAGATCCCTGATAATAAGAAATTTGTTGATGATGAATTTTACTATATATGTGTCATTTCTGGCCATCTAGAGGTTTATTTCCTCAAATTTTCTCACCTCAACCCCAACTATGGTGGGGCTGAGGTGGTTGTGAAATCACGGCTTTGAAGTATGTAAAGTACATACTCAAGAACAATGTTTTTAAGTTTGAGTTTCTATGGTCAGGGGCGGATTTGGGGGCGGGGCGGCCGGCCCCGCCCCCCCCCCCTTTGGGAGGTAAAAAAAAGAAAAATAAAGAAAAAAGGGGGAAAAAAGAAAAAAAAAAGAGAAAAAGAAAAAAATAATAGCCCAGAATGCCTCAAATGTTATGTTCGGGCGTCTAGAACACAAAAATTGCCCCGGAATGCCCCGGACCCCCTACGACAGTGTTGTCTCAATCGGCCCAACTTTCGGGCCCCCCCTTTTGGACATTTCTGGATCCGCCCCTGATGGTACATCACACATATTAATAAGATCTCTGGTTGCCGAAAATCCCTGATAAAAGATCATGAGAAATTTGTTGGCACTTCATTTTGAATAAATGGTGATGTGATTATGATGAATTTTACTAAAAATGTCATGTTCTGGTCAACTAGAGTTACTATTCCCTCAAATTTTCGCACCTCAGCCCCAACAATAGTGTGTCTGATGTGGGTGTCGACTCACAAAATGTCCCCCAACCCCCACCTCCACCTTTCAAAACAGATTGCAGCCTTCCTGGGTATGACATTAAACTCCATTGAGTCGACACCTGACTCAGGACTGCTGATGAGGCGAGAATGCATAAATTTGTTTTTAGGATGTGATCTGGTTTTAAATGCCCATTTTTTGTGATTATGACTATTTTGGATAAACAATGTTTTGAGCAGTGGTGTATCCCGTGGTGTATTCAAGGCCCCTTCCCCCCCCCCCTATTTTTTTAATAGAAAAAAAGAGAAAAATATATGCCCCTATCCAAATTTAAGTCTGAGAGTGTAATTTCCGGCAATCTAGAGGTGCCCTAATCATAAATTTTCTTACCTCAGCCCCAACCATTGTGGGGCTGAGGTCGGTGGTTCCTCAATCTGTATTAAGTCTCTCCCTGGGTCACCTCTCTATTGCTGGATCCATCACTGATGAGTTTTTTTAATAATTACTGTTAGGCTTATAACTAATGTTATTTATGATGATATTTCACTTTATCATCTCAAAACAGCCCTAAAAACCTTCAGAGCGTGTTACTTTCCAAAGGGCTTCGCAACTGGACCCCCCTCCCCAACCCACTGGGCTGTCTCTTATACACATCTAGATGTGTATAAGAGACAGCATTACGAGTGTTACCCCTTTTCATGGTCACCAAGTAATATATTTGTTGAATGATGTAGTTGCCAAGTGACGTAGTCCTCAAATGCCAGTTGCCGAATGCTGTAGTTGCTGCCGAATGATAAAGTCGCAACAAAATACTATATGCGCCGAACAAATGTCTGCTCTGTAGGTGTACCATAATTATACAAAATTTTACTATTTTGAGGGAACAAAATATTATTTTGTAGGAACGAAATATTATTTCGAGGAATGAAATCATTATTTTGGGGGAACAAAATATTATTTCAAAAACGAAATATATTTCGAAGGGACGAAATATTATTTTGTTCTCTCGAAATGATTTTGTTTCCTCGAAATGATTTTGAGGAAACGAAATATTATTTTGAGAACGAAATGATTTTATTTCCTTGAAATAATATTATTTCATCCACTCGAAATAATTTAATATTTTTCTAACCTGTCCCTTTATGCACTCCTTAGAAATTTACTGAGACACTCATAGATATATTACATTGTACTGTACAAAATAAAAATCAAACATTTGAACAATCCTTTAGAGTGTTTTTCACACTTTTATTTCCACAAAACAATTATCGCTGATTAAAGTTTACTTTTTGAATGTATCATTGATGGACATACACCTGTCTCTTATACACATCTCCTTCAGAGCGTGTTACTTTCCAAAGGGCTTCGCAGCTGGACCCCCCTCCCCAACCCACTGGGTCCTACGTACCTCGCATAACGCCCCCCCCCCCTTTCGAAATCCTGGCTACGTCCCTGTTGCATGGCAAAGTAATAACAAATGTTGAGGTTTGCAGTACACCAAGTAGGTAGAATCGTCTTCAGGAGAATAATATCTGCAGAAGTTCCAAACAGGGAAATACTTATACATGTGATAACACAACCACCTTCACAACAATTTATCTTGAGTCTGGAGCACATTCCATCAAAATTGATGCTCTAACCCTTAAGCTTGGATTCCTTAAATTCGCTACACTGCTGTCGGACTCGCTATCAGTGTTTTCAGCGCAATCATTGTACTGCGTACCGTAGCAGTCCCCAAAGCAATCAGGAAGGTTCCCCGATATGATTGACTATATCACCAAAAGCAGTCGCCGATAGCGTGTAGCGATTGCATAGAAACCAAGCTTACTCTCAAAGTCTAAACATAAATTATGTTGTATTGTTTGAAATAAATTTCCTATAATATGTAGACCTTCATTATTAGGTGTTTAAGCATTTTCAACTGTAATAATCGTCATTGTTTCTGTTGTGTTATTGTTAAAAGGAAAATCTATTAAAGGATGCAGATATTAATAAATGAATTATGGTGTTTATTAAATACCGAAATACTAAACAGAGTGATTACTGAAATAACGGGTGGGTATGTGGGTGAACGGATGGACGAACGGACTACCAAACAGATGGACGGAGAGACCGACAAATGAACCGACGCGGAAGATATGGATGGATAGATGGATGGTGAATTGATTTATTACAAAATTGATTGATTGATTAATTGATTGAATGATTGACTGACTAATAATGTGTTAACTTTACCGACTTCTCAGCAATACCTCTTAATATGTGTATACCATCAGGACCAGAAGACTTGTTGCAGTTTGCCCAATTTGAGACCAAAAGTGGGACATGAATATGTGAGTTGGTTTTTGGAAGTATCATCACTCAAAACACCATGGAATCAACAAAATGCTCGCCGTCGCTAATACACATGGAAAAACATCCATCACTAAAAATTCAATTTAAACATTTAAAAAAGCCAAACAAACTTCTAATAAAACACGACGTTATCAAATAAATTGACACAGTTTACATACAAATTGTTAAGGCTAGCCTTGATTTTTAAAAAAAATTAAAAGACACCTATGCTTGATAAGTAAATAACATAATTGTTCCTTCCTTTACTTGAGCAGTGTTTCTATCCTCATTACTTTATTTAAAATATCAGAGCTATAGCATATGCAACGCTTCTTCTATAAACCCTTTGAAGGCTCCGTACATTGCTGTCCCAATTATTATGAAGAAACTACAGTGGCTGCAATGAACTGTCAAGAAACCTTGCCGCCTGTTAAAGAAAACACAATACAATAATGCAACACTTCTTTATTTTATGATTTAAGTACATATAAAAAAGTAGAAAGTATGTTGTAAAATCACAACCAAAAAGCGCAGGAATAAAAAGTTTAGAAAGATAATCTATATGCAGACGTGGGAAATTACGAGTGTTACCACTTTCCATGGTCACCAATTGCTGAATGACGTAGTCCTCAAATGTCAGTTGCCACCGAATGATAAAGTCGCAACAAAATACTATAAGCGCCGAACGAAAGGCTGCTCTGTAGGTGTACAATAATTAATAATTTTACTATTTTGAGGGAACAAAATTATTTTGTAGGAACGAAATAATTATTTTGGGGGAACAAAATATTATTTCAAAAACGAAATATATTTCGAAGGGACGAAATATTATTTTGTTCTCTCGAAATGATTTTGTTACCTCGAAATGATTTTGAGGAAACGAAATATTATTTTGAGAACGAAATGATTTTATTTCCTTGAAATAATATTATTTCGTCCATTTGAAATAATTTAATATTTTTCTAACCCGTCCCTTTATGCGCTCCTGAGAAATTTACTGAGACACTCATAGATATATCACATTGCACTGTACAAAAAAAAAAAAAAAAATCAAACATTTGAAATATCCTTTAGAGTGTTTTTCACACTTTTATTTCCACAAAACAATTATCGCTGATTAAAGTTTACTTTTTGAATGTATCATTGATGGACATACACATAAACATAATTATACTGTGTTTTGAAGTCATAAGAAAAAAACATTCTTTGCTAATTCTCTGTACCAATATGACTAAATTAAAGCCGTATTTTCTGGTTTTCCTAAATAAGGAAAAAGTTTAAAATGTATATAGTTTCTTACTCTGAAAATTATTGGTGAAGAACCAACTTGAATGTAAACACATCTTTAAAATTTAATTAATAAGAAAATTACTAGCCTTTTCGAAATTAAAAACAAAAACTTAAAATTATTTTCATTATTAAAATTATCCATTTAGAACTACGGCAATCATGTCAGAAAAAGACTTTTATGTATCAATGCAATAATAATACGGTTTATGAATGTTTCTTCGAGCCTGCAGCAAGATCTCCACAAACGCCAGAAGTCGCAAGAAAATCGACAACACACAAGAGCTATGTGTGTAGTTAGCAGACAGCTCTTGTGTGTGGGAGGTCTTAGGTAAAAGAGTTTTGTTTAAGATGGGAGTTTGCCCTAGAGAGAGAAGCTTGGAAAATTAACCTCATCGTAGTATACAATACTGTACCGAAACATGTATAGTACTGTAGTATGGTTACAATTCTTAAATGAAAAAAGGCACTTAATTGTGATATTTATATCGAAATATATATGTTATTGAATATATATTCAGTAAGAAATTTTAAACACGAAAGTGACTATTGTCTTGGCCTCATGATATTCTTTCAATGAATCCTCTCCCCTAAAAATAAATTAATCAAAAAATGTCGAATTGAAATCAAAGTGAAAATCCTTGGCTCATGTGCCTAAAAAAGTCACTTTATAATCAATTAACAACAATTTCAACATGAACAGTTGTGCCAAGAACACTAAAGCTAAGGGGTAAACTTACAGGTCTCTGCCAAACCCAGACTGTTTGTAGCCACCGAAAGGAACTGAAGGTCCACCAACATTGTAGCAATAAACCCTAAAAATGTAAACAAACACAATATTAACTAGAGCAGTCACTCTATAGCGTGCATACCACCACCCTGTGCCTGAACAATGTGCAGTTGTGTATGATGGGCAATTTCATTTTTTTCCACCCTGTGCCTGAACAATATGCAGGGGGTGTATGATAGAAGATTCCATTATATTCCACCCTGTGCCTGAACAATATGCAGAGGGTGTATGATGGGTGAGTTCATTATTTTCCACCCTGTGCCTGAATAATGGACAGGAGGTGTATGATGGGCGATTCCATTCTTTTCCACCCTGTGCCTGAAAAATATGCAAGGGGTGTATGATGGGAGATTCCATTTTTTTCTATTCTGTGCATGAATACCAAACAATATGCAGGCAAGCCAATTTTATGCTTGGGGTTAAAATCTCGGTGACCTTGACCTTTGACCTGTTCTTCCCAAAATGTAATCATCTCTTAAACCTTAAAGCTCTGTCCACACTATTTAGTTTCATGTGTCAAGTAAATGAATGTGATATGACGTCAGTATTATGACATCCACTTGTAAGACCTGCAATACAACACGAGCAACATTGTCATTAGTACACTAGTTACATGAGTAACTTTGAAAAAATGATAAATAGGTGGTACTGTGTGGTAGTGAAGTAATGTATTATATAAGCATACCTTTTCCAAATCCTATTCGATCTAGCGAAAATATGTAAGCCAAATACAGTCACTTAGATCTATTTGAATCACAATGTAACGTCGATGATGCAAAACCATTAAGCACTAAGTCACGGCATGCTAGTAGAACCCGTATGTGTCTCGTTTCAGAAAATGCTATGATAGCA